AGGCAGCGTATGCACGTTCTAGACACTGTGAAATGCTTTGAAATGGCAGTATAGCCTCTCCCCTTATCATGAGCTTTACTATTCTTTCTGAGATCAAGATGATCTCCTTTGTCTTTGGCATGGTGAGTAAAAGTAGTCTTTTCAGTAGCTCTCAATATGGGTTCAAGTGCCCTGTTCTTGGAGTCCTTTTATGCTGACTGAACGCTCAGGTGTTATTAGGAAGCCAATTGACTGCACGGTGTTGTTTGAAAGCTGATTGGTTAATTAGGTGTGTTTTGAAAGCAAAAATGGGGGCTAATAGTTTGGACCACCATATTTGATATAAGCAAGCCTAAAACTGTATTTTGTTTTCCAAAATGTACCAAAGCTACTAAATATCATTGATGAATGTTTGATTATATCAAGTTTTATCAATGCTGCAAACTTGGGAAGAATTTTAGGAAAATGTTCCATAATTCTTGGGGGGGCTACTAATTTTGGCCTCAACTGTATGCGTAAAGCATAATATCTCATAGTATCTCATTCTCATATGTTTTTATTTGAGCAAATCACAAATACAACAGAACAGATCTGTTTAAACAGCCATATTGATACAGTACAACATAAAGTGCCCTTTTTTTCGTCTATAGTTGTAATGACCTTGATAAATAAGGTTGCAGCATGATATATCTTGTATGAACTATTTTACCTTGAAAACTATGACTATAGTCATATTACATATACCACAGTCAGAAATCCTAATGTAAATGTAGCAATACCAAAATAATCCAGATGTACACATTAGTGGTAAATCCTTGCATTAAAAATGTATATGGCAGATAAACATGTGAGACAATCAGAAATATATATATATTTCAGCATTATAACTCGTATGATCAGAAAAAAGCATTTAATTAACATTTACAGTTAAAAGGACAGATTAACAAACAAAAAACAAAAATAGGAACGGCTGTAAAAGGTTATCCAGTTGCACAGCCCTGCAATAAATCCCAACCGCTGATACTGTCTGAGGTGTGTGTGTGTATTTGACTACCGCATTAATGTAAAATGATGAAATTGTGTACTTCATGTATCCTCTAAGTCACAGTTGCAAGTGTTCAGTGCAAAAAATAGGCATTAATAGTTACAGTAAATTAATAGTAGATTAAATATGTACATGTCTTCACCATCAATCTGCAACATCACAGGTTCAACATGATAAACTTCTAAAATTCAGCTTCTGTCCAAATTTTTATAAATAAAATTTTTCATGAAAAAACAGCAGAAAGTATTGTTTGTGTGTTTGTTCAATTTCAGGCCAAAATCTGTTCAGACTTTGATTGTAGTCTGGAGCCCCTGAAATAATTATAAACTTTTAGTGTTTAATTGTTACCATGTTAATACGTTCACCACTTTTTAAAGGTTCAGTGTGTAATATTTCTGAGGATCTATCGGCAGAAATGCAATATAATATCCATAACTGTGTTTTCAGTGGTGTGTAAAGACCTTACATAACAAACCATTATGTTTTATTACCTTAGAATGAGCCATTTCTATCAACATCACCGCGGGCACCCCCTTCGCCATGTTGCATCACAATGTTTCTACAGTAGCTGTAAATGAACAGCCTACAGAGCGCATTTCGTCACTACGATCTTCTTCTTCTACTTCTGGTAGAATTCAGGCAGTGCAGACACTCATCACTATGTTGAATACGTACGTTAGAAGAAGAAGTAGTAATAATATACTGCAGGGGTCGGCACATAAGTTTTGAATCGGAGCAATATTTTCAACCATTAGATGGTGGATGAGAATATAAGTCATGACATTGACTTACATCAACATGTTGGTTGGTTATCTCAGTCAGTAAAGTGCAGGACTGCAATCCAAGGGTTGGGGCTCAATCCCACTTTGAGACAACTTTGGATTCTGCAGCGAATGTTTCTCAGATTACAACATGTGCTGCACTGTTTTTTGTTCTTTAGTTAGGGGGCAGTGGTAGACTGGACAGATGGTTGCAATTCACAACCCTCACCACTAGATGCCACTAAATCTCACACACTAAACCTTTAAGAAAAGTTTTTAATCAATCACATAGCCTAAAGGAAATGATATGTCAAAAAAAGAAAACAAATGAACTATGTGATGGAATAGTTGAAAAATCAGTTAATAAGTTAAATTGCATTTTAAATTATAATTTATCATTAAATACAAAACAAGGATAAAGTCATTAAATGGTTTATTTAATTATCTTTTGTTGTATTTTTCACTTTTAGTTTGAAGCGTTATTTAAAATCAGTATTGATTTTTTAATAGTTTTTTTTAAATGGGTCTGTTTTATTAATTGATTATGAATAAACATTTAAAAGCTATGATTAAAACTCCAGGCTCAATAAATTTCATTTCATTATTTCATTTCATTACATCGACACAAACGACTTTAAAGTTTCCACTAAAGTGAAAATTTTGCAAATGAGTTGAAATTATTTCACCTGTTTAGAGCAAAGTTAACACAATGGTTTGTTAATCATTAGAAAATTAATTGATAACTATTTCATGCAATTGATTTTAGTCATTTTACAAACAAAAATGTAAACAATTGTTTGTTTCCAGCTTCTCTGATGTGAGGATTTATATGATGATGAACTGAATTACTTTGAGGATAAGACTGAAATTGGGTGAGTTATAAAGGAATTAATTAATTTATTTATTTATTATTGAGATAATAATAAGCAATGAAAATACAACAAGACATGTTTCTGTGCAAAAGTTGTAGAGAGAAAAGAGAAAGAGAGAATGATGAATTAATGAATTGAGAAAATAATCAGCAGATTAATCTGTAATGAAAACATTCCTCGTTTTTCAAATCAAGTGTTGTTACATCAGTTTCTCTCTCTCTTCTGTTGGCTCTTTTCTGCAAAACTCATTCAACACAAGAAACTGAGCTGGAACAGGAAATATTTTGTTGCTTGTTTGAAAGTAAATGAATCTCAAAAGGGAAAAAATAATGAAACCACGAGACAGAGAGGCAGAGAGTTTGACTTATCCTGGTGCCATAATCATTAAACTATGAAAGGACAGAGAAGGAGAAGGCAACAGGTACGATGGACAGCAGCAGAGGAACCGAGAGAGAAACCAGGTGAGCGGTTCCAAAGAGGACGAAGCCCGGCTGGTTGGTTGGGATCTGGCTGTTGATCCAGGACTGAAACTGGGACACTCGGGTGAAGCCTTCTGGCACATTAGCCACGGCACAGCCTTGATCTGATCCAAAGCTCACCACTCCAGCCTGGACCCAGACAGAGCCGTTATTTTTCACCAGCGGGCCGCCTGAATCCCCCTGCAGACGTCAGACAGGTCGTTACACTTCATCCATCTGCTCTCAGAGGGAAATACTGTCCTTTTTATTCTATAGATTAGTGCAGATTTAAACATGTGCATCATCACTTGATGGAGGAGTGTTTTGCAGACAGACTCACCTGGCAGGTGCCCTGTCCTCCCTGGGTCACACCGGCACAGATCATGTTGCTTGTGATTGTACCGTAGGCAGCGTTACAATCACTGTTGGACACGATGGGAACTCTCACCTCCTGTAGGGTCTTTGGGGGAGGAAGTGAAACTGAAAAAGAAAAGAGATATTAACGTTGGGTCTGACTGTATTGTTTCCTCCTGGTTGTTTCATAGAAACTGCAGCAAGCACCATCCATCCATCCATCCATCCATCCATCCGTCAACCGCTTATCCTGAGTACAGGTTCGCGGGGGTCTGGAGCCAATCCCAGCTGACATCGTGCGAAAGGCAGGGAACACCCTGGACAGGTCGCCAGTGCAGCAAGCACCAGTTATAGGAAATTACTGAACCTTTTTTAAACATGGAACTATACATTTGTTGGGTGTCTTTAAAGATTTACATCTTCAGCAGGAACCAATTGGGGCCAGAGACAGGAAGTCTCAAGACAAGAAGAGTGTTAAGAGGTGGACTGACATGTTTTTGGGATTTGTTGACATTAAGATAAATTTGGACTTTTCCTTTAAACACAGGGCTCAGTGGGAACCATTTCAGGCAGCCCTGGTTCCTGCAGTAAAAGTCCCATTCACCTTTCCCATAGATGATGATTGGTGAGTCACAGTTAAGGATTTTAAGTCTTGGTTGGACATGAAAGATGTAAGAAAACATACAAGAAAATATCTGTTTTCTGCCCCTGATCTATGGCAGAGTATCTGTGTCAGTGGGCTAAGCAAGGCAGTCCAGACAGCCATCAATTTATAAAAAAAGTAAAAGTGCTGCATTCAAACTTTCACTTCAGTAAAAGCACCAAAATTGGTTTTGCATTTTACTTGGGCGTCATCTTGTTGCCCATCTCCTCTGAAGTGGTTCTGGTTCATATAATTGTGCTTTAATTTTAAAAACACTTTAAAATAATTGTCGAATGATTTGAAATTCTCACTTCCAGTTTGGATTCTCCCCCATCCGGTGACCCAGCAGGTCGTCCCGGCGTTAAAGACGCTGCCGCCCGCCGCCAGACACACGGGTCTGATGAACTTGGTGAAGGTAACAGGTGAGGACAGCTTCAGCAAGGCTATGTCGTTATCGAGCGTCTTGCTATCAAAGTTCGGATGCTTGATGATCTGGGACACAGACCCTGAGATCCCATTTGTATTCGACAAGTCTAGGGCTTCAAGACCGAGGTTAACGGTGAGACCGGATGGGGTGCTGAGAAGCAGAAAAGACAACATGTTTAAATATGTGACAGACACTGGTCCATGATTTTTTGTGAAAGACTAAACTATAATCTTAATTTCTCAGTCATCTTAAAATATAGTTGGAAATGTTGCTATTCAAAGAATTTCTTCTACATAACAAGCCAAGATTTATTAAAGCCTAATTTGGGACTAAGAGGAGGAATTAAAGGTAAAGGTACTTTATCTTCACAACACAGCTATGGAACATAGCTAAGTCAGCTAGCAAGCAGCAAGAAATAAACATTAGCTTAGCATTACCATGCTAACATGTTGGTCATGTACACTGAGTGAGACGAGAGATGAAGTTCATTGAGCAGTTTTCACAAAACAAAATGTTACTTTACAGTTTCACGACAAACTGCGACTCTCTTGAATTTAAGTATCTTTTAAACAGACATCAAGCGTGTGATTCAGGGCACAATGGGATCATAACATTAGTTGTCTCTCGCCAATGACAAGCCCAAATAGTTCTGAAATAAGGTCCAGTGAGGCGGAAGGGGAGGGACTTAGGCTCTCTATTGCAGCAGCTCTGTCAGTGTCTTCAACTTATTGTGCTTTCATTCTGCTTATGTTGTTTGTTTTTTTTTGAAGACTTGCTGCAAAACAAATTCCTCTTTTGGAACTATAACGATCTGAATTGAACTGAAACAGCTGTGACAGGATCAGAGCTCACCTGGGGAAGCAGTGAGCAGCAGTCAGGATCCACTGGTCGTTGATCAGGGAGCCTCCACAGAAATGAAATCCGTTGCTCTGCAGACTGGCCTGCCAGGGCCACGACCCTGCAGGAGCATTCGCCCCTCCTACGATCCTGGTGTTGAGCGGCGCAGTGCCACAAACTGGAGGGAAACAGAATTTACTTTCCGTGATTGAAAACAGTTTCTTTCATATAACTCTGTGAAAATGTGACGTATCCACCAGATTTTTCCCTGTTCTGTTAAGTACTGTGTTCTGTATGTGCTGAGGTAGTTTGGCATATCAGACATGTAAGGGCTCTTATATACTTATCTTATATTAAACACATTTTAATGTATTTTTGCCCGTCCCTGGTCCTTGTGAAGGCCCAGATGAAGATTCAAAGAAAACGAACAAAGGATCTCCATTTTCAGTGATGTCACAACAATAAACTTTTAAGACGGACGAATAAAAGTTCCAGATCCGCAGACCCTGGAGTTCACTTTCTGTCTGCCTTTGTGAAGTCAAATAATTTCCTCCAGTTGAACTCAGACAAAACAGAGATCCTTATCATTGAGTCCCAGCTCATGGCAAAGCAATTTCTGCCCTCTGCTGGTTCCCTAGTGGATCATATCAAGACTGTTTTAAATAATCTTGTTGTCTGGTTCAAACAGAATTTAAGATTTGAGCAGCACACAACAAAGCTTGTGCAATCATGTGTTTACCAGCTTAGAAATATAAAAAATTAAATCTGTTAACTTTCACCTTCATCTCACCACGCCTGGATTTCTGCAACAGTTTTACCGGCCTAGAACTAGAGCCAAGAAATGTGATCACATCGCTCCTGTTTTAGCTTCATAAAATGGTCACAATGCTTTAGAATTTTATTGATTTCTAAATATTTTATATTTAAACCTGATGTTTTTTTACAATCTGTGTGTTTTATTTTCTGACCTTGTGAAAGTAACTTTGAAATATGGATTTTGAAAAGTGCTCAATAAATAAAGATAAAAATATAAAGAAGCTTGTTAGCATGTTAGCATGTTAGCATGCTGCTGGAAGCACAGCAGGAGCTGATGTAAAATTCAGTTGTTGGAGGTTTTGAACAGGAAGCTGGATGAGAAGTCAGAGGATCACCAAAGTTAGTAGGACTCATCCTGAGGGGAACATGAACGTCACAATTTAACCAACTTCTGTGGAGAGACAGTATTTGACTCTAATGGAGCTTCAAAAGTGCAACTAAAAACTGCTTTTGGATTAATGTCTGTTTGAAGCAAAAATACATTAAATGATTAAATAATTGAGGATGTAACTCACCATCTAACTGTGCATTACTTCCTGTAGGAGAGACAAACAATACATTTAGTAACTTACAGGATACCTAAAATGGTTTAACAGGCATATTTACATTTCTGAGAACAAAACCAACCGGTTTCTCTGGTGTTCCTGTGACACTCAAGTCGTCGATTTTATTTCACTTTGTTATGTTTTATTTATTTAAGTAAACTCAATAAATCGTTTTACTAAAAAGAAAATTGATACAGATGCATTTCTTAGTTTAATAATATAATAAAACTGTGAATCAAGTCTCCTGTCAACACACAGTCAGACTGCCGGTTCTTCTTTTCAAGTTCAGTCAAATATTTCTACTTGTTGCTGCTGGATTGTGCTCAGTCTTACTTTACCTCACCTGTGTGAACAGGTGAAGCCGTGTCCAGAGAGCAAAACCCCGGTACATACATAAATAATACATGAAAATAAATGAAGTGTATAAATAAATGAACTAGCTGTAAGTAGATAATTACACAAAAACACAAGAGTCAATCTCTTCTGTCTATCTATCTTTCATTATGAACACAAAACAAATCAGGTGATCAAGTCTGGTTCTCTACTGAGACAAGATTTAACAGCACTCACCTGTAACCGCTAAAATGATGAGCACAACGCCACAAACCAACATTTTGACCTCCATGGTGAGATTCTCCCAATTTTGTCTTGTCATCAGTAGATAAACCGCCTGGACAGGCTGCACACGCCCTTCTTTTACAACAAACCAAAACACGTTCTTTGGCCCCGAGCCTGCTGTTGTGCCTACGTTTTGGAATCAGAATCACTTTCGTTGGCCAGGTATATGTACACAAAGCCTACAAGATTTTAACCCCAGGCATTATATCACTCTCAGTGTACAAAGTACAAGATACATGCACATATAATAAGAATTATAATAATAAAATAATAAGCAGAAATAAACCTGACAACAAGCTTAATAAAATAGACATAGTGTAAACGTGCTGTTACAAATAATCTTTAAATGTACATGTAGTCTATTGGAAAACCTTATATGAAACCCAGCGATGTTGTTTTCTACAAATTTCATTCCAATGATTAAAATGCCATCTATAGGCTTAGCAGGTGAAATTAAGCTTGGTTCCTAAGTTACATGTTTATTATTTCTACCGTTGTTTATTTTATTACTACATTATTATTGTGTATTTAATTCCATAGGACTACAATTAATAATAACAATGTTGTAAATGTCCCAGCTTGACAGCAGTGCCTGGAAAAATGTGGTTTGGATTAGTGTTTGTTTGTGGCATAGGTGTCATTTGGCCTGGGGACGCTGGGGACATGTCCCCAACACTTTATAGTAAATATTATAACATTAACGACTTTGAGCATTAAACACTTAATTTCCCGCATTCTGGAGACATTTTCTGCACCAATTTATGGTGGAAATATCTTTATATGAAGGGAAACAAAATTAAGGTGACAATTCAAAATATAAACATATAATGGAATATAATGCAGTAATTTCAATTGCATTGCATGTTTTATGTCCATTGTTTCATTTGTAATTTAACATTTCTTGTTGCTGTTTTTCAGAACATTTTTAACAAAAGCTTACAAAAAGTGATGGAGACATCCTGATTCTGACCTGTCCCCAGCGTCCCCAGTGTAAATGACGCCTATCTGTAAATATTTTTAAATGTCCCTCTCCATCCAGCCTCTGATTGGTCGGTTCGAGACAAGTGTCATTGCTACTTTCTGCACAGGGCTGCTTGAAAGGCACACGAGCTTCTCTTCTTTAGCAGGCAGGCGAGAACGGGAACAGGTGAGCGTCACGTAGCGCCCAGATAACCTGATATGGGGAGGGCAGAGGAGAGCAGCTTGGGAAAAGTCCCGGTACGCAAGAAAAAGTCCCGGTATGCCAAAGAGTAAAATGTCGAGGTGCCGGTACTGCGTACTGGAGAGTACCGGCCCACTTCAAGCACCTGTCAGTAACTTTAACAACTTCTTGACACAGTTTCTTTTTTTTTACAATAATATCAAATGACGGGCTAAGACATGTGGATCATGATTACAAATTATGTAGTAAGCAAGTTTGTAGGCAAATTATCAGAAACCACTTCGCGGATGCTCACCCTAGAGGTGTGGAAGCAAGGACGTCACTAGGATTGAAAAACAGGGGGGGCTTAGCCCCCAGGATATGCGTAACTTGCGCTTGCAAAATCTTTGCACTCACAATGTTTGTTACGGTATTAGAACCACACTTATGTCAACAACCAGTGAAGAGGCAAAGATGTTAATTCCATAGGTCCATTTCTACTCTGTCGAACAAAAGTTACTATAATGTTAGCTTTTAGACATATTAAAGTTAAACGGGGGGAATTCACGTAGGCCAGACTGAGTTCTTCTGTAGGCTATGAGCTAAATGCTATCCACCTGCTCATGTAAATGTGTGATAAACAGGGCTTGACATCAACTTTTTTGCTCACTAGCCAATGTGGCTAGTGGATTTCCATAGTTACTAGCCACACAGCATTTTCACTAGCCACATTTTTGTTGTTGGGAATTTACGTTTTATATGATTAAAGTTGACTATGGCATGCTAAAGTTTATTAATTTTGTCATTGGCTTTGATAAGTTTGTGTGTAAAGCTCATTTTTATGAAAACATTTATTAAACGTCTATTAAGATAAACACATAAAAGAGTAGCTTCTTATTGTATATAATAAAAGTGGTGCAAGGGTGTAGAAGATTCAAAAACACAACTGAAAATACTATTGAATCAGAAACACTGTTTAACTACTTATTTATAACTGCAGTAAATACTATAATTAGAAACAAAAGCAACGACGATCGAATTATTTTTGTCTAAGAAAAAATCCACAATTAAGGCAACTGATTTTAAACTTTATCTAGGCCTATATCATTTTTGGGGACTTCTGGAGTGTTTGTTTTGTATCTGCATTTCCTCCGAGCTTTGACTGGATTTATGTTTATAATTATGAAGCTCTGGTCGCTCTGAGGTCCTTCCAGATACATCCACCTGAAACGAGTACACAGGTCTTTATTTTCCAGATTATTCCCATACAAACGCATCTTTTGATTAGAACATGGCATGATTACTTTTATTAAAACAGGTAGTGAAATGATGATATGATGTGATATCAATATCAATATCAATTTTATTTATATAGCACACTTGTAACAACCGAGGTTGACCAAGGTGCTTCACAGGTTAAAAATGCATCAACAAACAGAAAAACTACAGCTGTAAATCATTATAATATACAGTGTTTGATATAATGATATTAAAATAGCCAAGGATAATAAGGGTGATTTGAAGCATTCGAGAGTTGGGGCGGTTCTGATCTGGACTGGCAGGTTGTTCCACAGGTTAGGGGCAGCTACACTAAAGGCTCGATCAACTCTGGTCTGCTTCTGGGTCCATCCAGGACGAGGAGACTGGCAGATCACAGCACTCTAGCTGGAGTGTGAACGTGAAGAAGCTCCGTTAAGTAAAGTGGAGCCAGTCCATTAAGGCATTTAAAAGTTAAAAGTAAGATTTTAAAATCAATCCTGTACTGGACAGGAAGCCAGTGGGGGGAGCACGTGCGTGTGTGCATGCGACCGGTCGTGTGTGATGACAGAGATTATACCATCAGGTTAAAAGCAGGTGGGAGGCCGACAGTCTACAGGTCTAAGGGACTGTGGCTGCCCTGTCACAGAACTTTTATATTCTCGTTTGACAAAAGTCTGGATGTCATATTTGGCGTGTGCACCATCGCACTGCGATGTCTGTTGACAAGACAACAATTTTTCCCACGCCGAAGTGGCTAGTGGTAGTGACTGCGTTGGCAGGTGTTAATGTCAAGCAGCCCTGGTGATAAAGTAATACCATATCTAATTATTTTCTGTTAGCTGTTGATGAGGATCCTATTTAAAATGGCTCCTGTCTGAATTTAATAACCCGATGGTGGAAAGATTAAAAGATTTGGTTTAAAGATTACTATATGTTTGTATACATGTATGTATGAATGCTTTTATTTTATTATATCTTTCCTGTGTGTAAATGTCTGTGGACATGTTCTCATGTATAACCTCGACATTTAGGCAACATCTACAGATTTATTTCATTTATTACAGCCAATGAATGCAGAAAGAGAAGTGGGTCAGAATATAACAAATATAATAAATATCAAGAAATAATTAGGTTATGACTTGGTGCCTAGACCTGCCAACAAACACATAATGTTAGAAGAACACAAACCAGCCCACATTTCCTTAGACCTGTAAACCACTACAGACCTGAAGACCACTACAGATGTGTAAACCACTGCTGACCTGTAGAATACTACAGATTTGTAGTTTTGTGGGTCTATGAGCGTTGGGAGGGTCTGCTGTTGTGTGCGGGTCTGACTTGCAGGCAGTTATGCTCTAGAATACTTGGTGACCGCTGACTAAAAACGATGTGTGATGTGAGGCACCCATAGTGTAATTAATGTGATTTATCAGCAAGGATATTGTAAGCATTGTAAGACTTAAGTTCACTGAAGCATGTGTCTGCGCTGTACTGGGTTCCCTTTACAACCCGTAAAAAGTTGACCCCCCGATTGTCACTGTATAATTCACACATATTTATTTTATAGCGTCTTTTAATCGAAACAATTAGAAAATGGAAATTAAATGTTAGGAAAGGAAACAAATGAACTGTGCAATGGAATATTAGAAAAACTGTTTAATGAGTTAAATTTAAAAGCTTTTTTAAAAAAATTACAATTTTATTTTAAATAATGATTCATCAATAAATACAAAATAAGGAAATAGAGTGATAGAACATTCCTTATTTTACTCTTTAAATTAAGCGTCATTACACCAGTTTCTGATCTCTCTCTTCTCTTCTGTCGTCTCTTTTCTGCAAAACACGAGAAGCTGAACGGTAAAAACGGGTGAAAATATTGACTCAAGGAGCAGATTTTGTTGCTTGTTTTAAGATAAATGAGTCTTAAAAGGCAAAACATATGTGACCACGAGACAGAGAGACAGAGATTTTAAATCCTGGTGTATTAAATAAATTTTCTATGAAAGGACAGACAAGGAGAAGAGAACAGGGACGATGGACAGCAGCAGAGGAACCGAGAGGGGAACCAGGTGAGCGGCTCCAGAGATGCTGATCTGGCTGTTGATCCAGAACTGATACTGGGACACTCGGGTGAAGCCTTCGGGGACATTCGGCAGGGCACAGCCTTCTTGTGCTACAAAACTCACGATTCCAGCCTGGACCCAGACAGAGCCGTTTTTAGTCACCAACGGGCCGCCTGAATCCCCCTGCAGATGTCAGACAGGTCGGTTATACTCCAAACTTCTACTCTCAGAGTTATCAGTTGATGGAAGAGTATTTTTGCAGACAGACTCACAAAACAGGTGCCCTGTCCCCCCTGGGTTAGACCGGCACAGATCATGTTGTTTGTGATGAAACCGTAGGAAGCGTTACAATTACTGTTGGACACGATGGGAAGACTCACCTCCTGCAGCCTCCCTGGGGAAGGAAGTAGAGCTGAAAAAACATTAATTAATTAATGTTGAGTCTGCATGTATTATTTTTTTTGGTCAACTGTAGCCGTGTTACCATCAGTGATTTTATATGCGCAAATTTGAAGTAAAAAAACGTCCTTAATTTTGCAAAAAAGTTTTTACGTTCGCTTGAGGTGTTTTTTGCCTTTGTCAAAAAAGAGTTAATGCCCGAATGCCGAATAAGTTCTGACGTAACTCACGACTGATCAGCTGTTTCCGCTGTCGCCATCTTGCCGGATATTCCCGTATATACCCACTAAAGCACCACATGTGGATTCATCCGCAAGTCTTGGATGGACGTGAAACTCTCCAGTTTAAATCATCAGTACAAAAAATTCACAACTGTTAGAAATTATTCATCCTATTGCAATGGATGGAAGTGCAAAGGCAGGAGAACTACAAGGTTGAACCCAGATGCAGACACAGACGAGTAGGCACACTGAGTGGAACAGCAGCTCAATGGGGTTAGTGGACAGAAGTGGACAGTTCAAAATGTTCAGGGGGCAGAACATCCTCTTCGGAGGCAAGGCAGTGGGAACAAGAGGCTGCACAGAGTCAGGAGATGGCTGTTCAGCAGAGGTAGGGGGCGGCAACAGTTCATTAGAGGCTTGGGATTCTAGTGACGGGAAGTCAGAAATCTGCTGTGGCTGGACAGCAGGATCAAGGGGTTTGATATGTTCATCACCTGCAGCAGGGGCTGGGATCAGTTGTTGCACTTTGGGTAGCACCAGAACCAGTCCAGGGGTTGCTGCTGCTCAACTGCACTTCGGGATTTGCAGCTGCTCAGCGTTTTATTTAGTTAATGTTACACTGGGTTTGAGAGCCTGCAGTTGGTGTTGACTTACAGTAGTTAATAAGCTGTCATTAGTTGCATTTTACAGGTTACAGTTACAGAATCCCTTATAGCAAAGCAGTTTTATAAGCCGCCTGGTTTGAATGTAGCAGGTGATACAACATTCATTATACCCTGAGAGACTTGACTTGGACTCTAGTGGAAAGACTTGTGAGCATCTCTGCCGTGTCTCCTCTTATGACCTCCACAGGTGCCAGGAAAAATGGCCAAGTACGTGCCCACAAAGGAGTGCTGCTTGTTGGGGACGCAGACATGGTGAGGGTCAGGCAGACAGGCAGCTAGGTGGCTAGCTGGCGAAGCACTAGCAGGCCGGGAAACAGGCATGTGGTCATTAGCTAACAAGCAGCTATCAGGCAGGTGGGGTCTAGTTAGCAGGTTGCTAGTAGGCAGGGAGACAAACTGGCCCCCGCTAGTGGACTAGTTACCATTATGTGGACTTGTTGTTCTAGGATCAAGCTAAGGAGCCAGAACTAACTGAAGGATAGAAAACAGGAGATGATCCAGCTCGCAGCTAGGACAAGAGTGGTTGGCTGGTCTGCTGTAAGATAGCAGCCCGGGAATAGATGATTGGCCTGCAGATAGCTAGTAGGCTGGAGATCAAAGGTGTTAAGATATCCCGCTGACACGGAACTGAACACGGAACAAACGCAAAAGTCAGAACAGGCTAAACCAAAAGTAACAGGAAATAATAAAACTGAAAACCACAATCATGACTCATCCATCCATTTTCTGCTTCTTATCCACGCAGTGTCCCGATGGCAGCAGGCTAAGAAAGGTAGTCCAGACGGCCATGATCTAAGTCCTGCATTCAAAATCTTACTTCACATAAAAATTGTGACAAAGTACAAAAAGTGTTTTTTGGTTTTACTTTGGCTGCTGTTGACGTCATCACCTCTGCACTTTTTCTGGTTTATATTCATGTGCAATCGTTTGCAAAACACAACAATAAAAAGTACAATCATTCACTATTAGCAATACATTTAAAATGATTGTAAAATGAATTTAAATTCTCACTCTCAGTTTTGATGTTTCCCAGCAGGTCGTCCCAATGTTAAAGGCGCTGCCGTCCGCCGCTAAACACACGGGTCTGATGTAGTCAGTGAACGTAACAGGAGAGGACAGCTTCAGCAAGGCTATGTCGTTGTTGAACGTCTCTTTATCATAGTTTGGATGCTTGACGATCTGGGACACAGTCCAGGACTTTCCGTTTGGAGTCAACAAGTTCAGGGTGTCACGGCCGAGGTAAACGATGAGATTGGGAGTGGGGCTGATATGCAGAAAAGACAACATGTTGCAAATCACACGAAAGCTGAATCCATCATAGCCAATCCTCATTTTGAAGAATTTGACATTCTCCCCTATAGTCAGAGACAAAAAGTTTTTATTTATCCCAAATGCCCCAAAAATCTTGTAGAACAATAAAGATCGGAACTGACCTGAAACAGCTGTAATGGTGTCTGATTAATACTAACAGCATAAATAAAAACATGATAAGTGGTTTTAATGTGGTTTATGGCCACATCCTCACTGCATTTTCTCTTTGTAGCATAAATGAAGTCCCTGGTACAGGATCACAGCTCACATGTTGAAACAGTGAGCAGCAGTCAGGATCCACTGGTTGTTGATCAGGGAGCCTCCACAGAAATGCAGTCCATTGGTCTGCAGACTGGCCTGCCAGGGCCACGACCCTGGAACAGCATCCGCCCCTCCTACGATCCTGGCGTTGAGTGGCGCAGTGCCACAATCTGGGGGAAACTCTGTTTACTGTCTGGGTAGCATCATCTGTATAGATTTGCTATCAATGATGATGTCTGTCTGTTTGTCCAGCTTTTTTGGTTTGGATATCTCAACAACTGTGGGATGGATTGTTATGAAAGTTTGCACAGACCTTCATGTTCCCCTCTGGACAAACTCTTAATAACTTTGGTGATCCTCTGACTTTTGTTTAGCGCCATCATCAGATCAACATTTTAATGGCCTAGTACAAGGCATCATATAAAAACATTTAGGCCTGAACTTCAATTTTGACTTCATGGAAATGGGATATTTTATAATTGTATGTTTCTCTAAAAATACACTGAGCAGACAATGCATCTTGTCTTTATTTGCGTATTTGGTATTGAAGTAATCAGGTTACATTACTTTTATTTTCTGGTACTTGGATTACATTACTGAGCACATTTTTTAAGAAGTAATTAGTAATTGTACCGGATTACATTTTTATAGTAACCCTCCCAACCCTGTTGTTAGGGATATATATGTGATTTAATCTCATATTTTCATTCATTTTTCGCTGTCTTGCTGTGAATGAGCTGTATAGATTAACCTCAAGCTATGGAGCCCCTTAAGTTTGAGGGCGAGAATATTTTTAAATACTAGTCTGCTGAAACAGTCAGTTCTTTTAAATTAAGATTGAAGAATTTTCTTTTTACCATTGCTTTTAATTAAATATTTAAGATTTTTCTCTTTATTGATAACTTACACTGCACTGTAACTTTTACTGTCCTGTTTTCTTTTTCTTTGTTTTTAGCTTTTTATCATTGCTTTTTTTCATTTAACTCTTTTAACCCTTATTCTAACACTGTAACTTTATTATATTTTATGTTGCTTTTAAACTTTTTATATTTCCCTGTTGCTTTTATGTTTTATGTAAAGCACTTGTTGTTAAAATGTGCTATACAAATAAACTTGCCTTGCCTTACTACTTTTGCGTTACCTTGTAATAAGTTTTACATCCGCTGCAATACTTTTGTTCTTCCGTCCTTCTTAGCCATAGCTGTTACCTCTCGGTTGCTCTTTTTTACCCAAAATCTATTGATCGATTCCAACAGTTGCCACCCAGCCTGCAGAACCAAGAAACGTGATCACCCCCGTTTTAGCTTTATTACACTGGTGACCAGTATGTTTTACAACAGATTTTAAAATTGTATTGATTTCTTTTAAGACTCTTAATGGCGTCTCTCCATGCTCTATCTCTGACCTTTTAGTCACGTATGTACTCTGAGATCCTCGAGGCCTGTTGTCGGTTTCAGAGGATGAAGAGACAGAGTGTTTGCTGTCCGAGGAAATCAGGCTGGCTGAGTCAGTGAACTCTTGTAAACCTCTTCTTATCCATTATCCCTCTTCGCCCATCCATTTACAGGCGTAGTGGAACACATTTTGACAAATGAACGCAGGTCTCCATTAAACGCCTGGTCTGGTTTTTATGTAAGTTCTTTGGCTCTATAAAATCTCTTAACTACTTGAAAGCAGACCCCTTTTTCCAGAAAAAACACCTAAAATTACATACCCAAAATGAATCAGGAATAACTCCTCAACCATTTGGCCTAGATGCATAATTCTGGTCTCCTTTGAAAAGTCAGAAGCTAAGGAATATGAATCCATTGTGTATTAATATATTTATTTGACTTTTACAGACTACATGGAGATGCAATAAAGAAAATATCTGATATTTTTATCCTCGCCTGGTAAAAAAAGCTATATTTTGATGCAATAAACCAACAAAACCATCCTGAGTTAGCTTTTAATGCAACTGAATATCTTCTTCTACACCTAGAATGCAATTGTAACTGTAAATCTGATGAAAATAAACTAAAATACAACAGTTATCGTACAACATTTTCAAATATACCAGGCGAATTTCCATATTTGGCAACATTTATTGTTTAAATTCCGACTTGTATTGATAGATATCTTTAAAACACTTTTTCAGTCCATACAACCTATTTACAAATGACAAAACATTGAAATATTGATAAAAACAGGAGTATTCATCAACATTCCTGTCACCAAAAGCACTCCCATGCTTTACAGGCCTGTAGATTGAGAACGGAACATCCCACAGTTATGGGGGGGAATCAATCGATCCGATATCTCCAACGAAACGGACACAAAATGGCAAAAAACACCGTATGTTCTCAAGCGGCATGTTTCCTCTCTGCAGAAAAGACGACAGCAGGCAGGCAGCTTGCAGGTATTACACAATAATCAAGATCGTGCCAGCTTGGACTCGGTGCAACAACATCGGCGGGTTTGGAGTCTGCACCCTGTTGTTGTTGTTGTTTTCGTTACGTTGCTGCCTTCAAAATAAAAGCCGTCTGTTGGAGCAAGATCAAATGAATTAGTGTATTTGATATTACTGGATTTTATATAAGTAATATTCTGCTTGAAATAAAAAACTGTTTCATAGTCTATTTAAGTTTTGTTCTAGAGGAATTAAAGCCCTGTCCCATATGGACGCCTGTCCCAAATAAAGGGTCATTCAGTGATTTTAGCAAATAAAAGCGGGCTATTCATTTTTAAAGTATTTTATCTGTGAACCTTTACTGATTTTTTTTTCTTTGAACTGTAATTCCTAGTTTTATAGTAAAACCTGATGGATTTTAGAACCTGTGTATTTTCTGCCTTTGTAGAGGCACTTTGTAACATAGAGTTTGAAAAGTGCTCTATAAAGACAGATTATTTTATGAGGGATCCAAGTGGTGAAGCTACAGGAATCCTATTGTTTTTGTTGTTCTTCTTCCTTCTTCTTTTTCTCCGCTAAAAGTGTTTGTGCAGCAAAAACTGCTCGACGAAACTCATCAAAATTGGCAGATGGGTTGCAAATTCCCCCACTACTCAGTAAAAAAAATGGCACTCACAGACCTCATGTTGGTGCTATAACAATCATATTTTACGTTTTGCAATATTTTCAAAAATAGCTTTGTTTTAAGTAAAACTTCTTTTAAATTATTTTAATCTTTGGAAATATCTCCATCTTTGCTCTTATGGCCTAAAAATATCAGATTTTCTCAAAAAGCTATTTTTAACACCATTTAGCTAATTGATGCGAAAGTTATCAAAAGAATTTTGATATGTCAATCTGTTTTTTATCATATTTAAACTTTTGTATTTTACAAAAAATTACAAAATTTGTTTATTAAATTGCATTTCTTCTCAGATGTTTCTGTTTTACATATATTCAAAATACACACTTAAAAATTATTGCTTAAAGTGGGAGTGTAAATTTCTAAGAAGAAAATCACCCGTACGTCATAGAGAGCTGAAATTTTTTCAGCACATCCACTGACATGTGACAAACTCACTGCAACCTATGGTCAGTTCAGAAGTCTGTCACTCTATATTTTTCAGAATATGCTAAATCAATTAACATCTATATCTTTACAAGTCTTTCTTGAAATGCTACCAAAATCAACACAGACATTGTCTAGATGGCCGATATCAAGTGTTGCAAAGGTTTTTCAAATCGGTCAAACGGTGAGTCTGCAGTGATCAAGCTGTAGCTTGTAAAGTACAGTAGCTCAGTCAGTAAGTCACCTACTGTGAGAATGAGGGTTCAAAGTCCAAGGTGACCAATTTTGATTTGCCGTTAATGGGGGTGTTCAGATCACTGTTGTAGTTTGTACTTGAAACCTGGGACACTTTCTTAGTTTTTTTTGCTAAAGTGTTTGTGCAGGATAAGCATTACAACACAAATTTGGCAGGTGGGTTGAACATTTCACTCACTCGTCAGGTACATATACCTACCCTCTCTGACCTCAAGGTGATGCTGTAAATATCACGTTTGTGTTTCTGCAAATAATCTTAAAAAAAAATGCTTGGCTTCAAGTGAAAATTCTTTCATCACTTTAAACTCTGAAGTCATCTAGTATTCTTCCCTGAAAGTGTCAAATTTAGCATTTTTCAACACTTGCTTGATATTTTAAATTTAAAATTGTAAAATGCTGACACCTGCTGCTAACATTTAGCATGTTAGCATGCTGCTGGAAGCACATAAGAAGCCGAATTCAGAAGCTTTCTGTCTAAGTAGCTACATGAAAAGTCAGAGGATCACCAAAGTTACTTGGACTCGACCTGAGGGGAACGTGAATGTCTGAACTTCATCACACTTTAACCAACCTCTGTGGAGAGACAGTTTTTGACTCAGAACAGAACAGAAGAGTATGAGAATAGAACTCACCATCTAACTGTGCGTTGCTTCCTGTAGGAGAGACACAAATAACAATACATTTAGTCACTTACATGAAACTGTCTGCTTGTTGTTTGTGCAGTGATTATTCTTAATTAGTAAAATAATTTCAGAACAAAACCAGCTGGTTTCTCCTGTGTCCTGAGACACTCGAGTCATTGTCTTATATTCACTTCATTCTGTTGTGATTTTTCAAGTACACTCAATAAATTGTTTTACCGCAATTTTTTTACACAGAGACATTTCTTAGGTTATTACTCTAATAAAACTGAATCAGTCTCCTGCCAACACACAGAGTCAAACTGCCAGTTCTTCTTTTCAAGTTCAGTCAAACATTTCTGCAGGTGGCTGCTAGCACTTCCACAGTCTTACGTTACATGAAGCTTTCTAAATTAGCAATTAGTTGAAAATTACACAGAAACACAAGAGTCATTTCTACCTACCGTCTAAATTTCTTTTCATTATGAACACAAAACATATCAGGTGATCAACTGTGATTTAACAGCGCTCACCTGTAACCGCTAAAACCACGAGCACGATGCCACAAACCAACACTTTGACTTCCATGGTGCGATTCTACCAACAATGTCTTGTCATAAGTGGATAAACCGCCTTGACATGCCGCACACGCCCTTCTTCACCAACAAAACAAATTAACACTTTGTATGGCCCCGAGCCTGCTGCTGTGCCTACTTTTTGGAATCAGAATCACTTTCATTGGCCAGGTATGTGTACACAAAGCCTACAAGATTTTACTCCGGGTTTACATGCCTCTTAGGTCTGTGCTCGAGACTCGTGTAGTACTTTCTAACCATCTCCTTAATCTGCTTGTTCATCCCTGGACAAAACAGGATGTCTCGTGCTCTCTGCATGAATCCTGGATAACATCTCTGTGCACAGTGAGGTAGGAATGATGATTTTCAAGCTCTGAAAGTTCTGCGAAAGTTCAACCAGATGGTTCCAGTATTCTGCTATGATCTGAGCTCAGTGTCTTTTCCAGTCTCTGCTCTCTTTCAGCTTGATGTCGCTGACACATAAATTGCTATATATCATGTGCACTTGCATGTCCATGCCTTCACTGATAGCGTTGTCTTGGTCAGATAGTGATTTCCTGGAAAGAGTTTCTGCAACAGGATGGCTTGACTTGGTCTGTGGATGATGGTGACGTCATATCTTTGTATGCGCTGCTGCTAGCAGTTTCCACATGATGGACTTACGTGACTTCCCAAAGTGACATACTGGTGATATTTCTTTCATCCAAATTTAATGGCATACAGCTCTTTTTCAATTTGCTCATAACTGACACTATCTGTTACCGGTTTTGATGCATAGCCGACGCGCTTAGATGCATGAACTTACAGCCTGAGCTCTTTGTTGGGTTAAAAATATGTTAAGACTGGATCTGGCTCTCGTGTGAAGTGCTCTTTGTTAATACTAATTAAAACTTCGACCCCTCAAAAACAACAGTTCAGGGGGTCTTTCTCACCTGTAATTGTAAATATCACAATATATTCCCCAATATTCAAACCTCAAGAATCTTTAAATACAATTTCAAACACCCCTAAAATGGACCATACCATTTAGAGTCCCTAAGTAACTAAAGGGGGGATAGATGGGACATGGGGAATCAAAGGAGTAAATAAGCAAAGGTGGGAGACCTGCCTGTTTTTGTTCTATTTATCTTTTAAAACTTTGTTATATTTCCCTGTTACTTTTTTATATAAAGCACTTTGAATTACCTTGCAAAAAATAAAAAAAATAATTTGTGTTTTCATTTACTTTCAAGCTGATGTTAAATTAAGTGAAGATTGCTAATTTGTCTTTAGAACATAGAAAAGATATAAATTTAGGTACGATGCAAATTAGCGACAACAGGCATAAATGAGAAACAAGGGCTTGCAAAAGGTTCCTAGGTTTTGGCGGAATCCATGTGCTATTTTGGCTTGCAGTCTACAAGGAAGAGGTATGATGCGAATTCGCGACAATGGGTTAATTTACCCAGGATATCTGGAAAATCCCGCCTTAATCCGCTATCTTGGTTTTGTGAAACAGCCCTCAGATGAAAGAGCTCGAGAGCAAAAGGTCCAGAGTATTTATCCTCCTACAGCGTCTGGGCCAGGTGCTCCCAATCTGGCTTACGGGCGCTGATACCTTCAAGGACAAAATGAGAACAGTAAACTGCCCAACACCACACAGTTAAACACCCAACTAGGCAGGGCCGTCACAAAGGTGGCAAACCTAGGCGATGCAGTCGATCCAAACCCACGATTGGTCAGTCACACCCACCAATAGAAACTCTAATCTTGACCATTTTTGACTCGCAAAACTTTTTCACTTGCAATCAAAGAGGACGGATTAGCTATAAAAAACTTTTTTGTGACACAAAAAAGGCCGGTTTGTTTTTAATCACAAATTTTATTTTCGATTGCAGTGACAAATATGCTCTCGACATTTTTGCTTGCATTAAAAAGATACAAAAATGCCTTCATATACCAGATTTTGTTGCTTGTTTAAATAAATTAATCTCAAAAGGCTCAAAATATGAGACCAGGAGACAGAGAGACAAAGATGTTGACTCTATCCTGGTTCATTAATTATCATAATTAAACTTTCTATGAAAGGACAGAGAAGTAGAAGTCAACAAGTAAGATGGACAGCAGCAGAGGAACCGAGAGGGAAACCAGGTGAGAGGTTCCAGAAGTTGAACCGTTCCCAGAGGTTGTACCGCTCCCAGAGGTTGTACCGCTCCCAGAGGCTGAACTGTTCTCCGTGAAGGTGATAAAGCCCGGCTGGTTGGTGCTGATCTGGCTGTTGATCCAGGACTGATACTCGGACACTCGGTGAAGCCTTGTGGGACATTAGGCACGGCACAACCTTGATCTGATCCAAAACTCACAACTCCAGCCTGAACCCAGATAAAGCCGTTATTCTTCACCAGCGGGCCGCCTGAATCCCCCTGCAGACGTCAGACAGGTCGGTTATACTTCATACTTCTACTCTCAGAGGGAAATACTGTAATTTTTATCACCAGTGACAGATCTGTTTATTAGTGCAGATTTAAACATGTGTGTTATGGAGTGTTTTGCAGACAGACTCACCTGGCAGGTCCCCTGTCCTCCCTGGGTCACACCGGCACAGATTGTGTTGTTTGTGACTATACCACCGTAGACCTCCCTACAATCCCTGTTGGACACGATGGGAAGACTCACCTCCTGCAGCCTCTTTGGGGAAGGAAGTGCAGCTGAAAAAGAAAAGAGATATTAATGTAGAGTCTGTACTTTTTCTTTTTGTCAACAGTGTGTCTCATAGCCTGATTTTGTTGTGGTCCAGCAGTACTTCCCTCTTGTCCTCTGTGTTAAGGTTTGTCAAGCTAAGACACAGGACAAAGGGATTTGGTCCCACATTCACCGTCCTACTGCCCCAAATACTCTCTAGAGCACCACATGTGGATTCATCCACCACTGAAAATAGTGCAAAAACAAATGTACTATTTCCTCCTGTTTGTTTGAAAGAAACTACAGCGAGCAGCTGTTTTAGGTAATTACTGAACGTTTTTAAACATGAAACTATATGTCTGTGAAGATTTACGTCTTCAGAAGGAACCAATGGGCTCGGAGCTGAGAGCAATAGACAAGAAGTCAGACAGTGTTGAGAGACGGACTGACATGTTGCTGGTTTGAGTCTGTTCGTGGGATTTGTTGACAATAAGAAAAATACAAAACATCAAGGTCTTTTCCTTTAAACATTATTATAAAATGACCTTACAATGTTAAGCCCTGACTTATCGCATACAGGCAGGACGATCGATTTTCACCACAAAAATGCAAGTGTGTCTGAAGTACTTTGCACCCTA